ACAAAGTTCTCCAAGGCCAAGAACTCTTGAAGTGAGTGGTTGAAGGTCTGGAGTTCAAGGCTTGAAAGAAGCAAGCGCCATGTGAATCCAATAAGTTTTCGGAAGTGAGGCGCATGTGTTTTGTTGTTCTGGGTGATCAGTCAGTGCCATGCTGCAGTTTGCCAATATTGTGGGCAATGCATAAAAGCCTTTTGAGGGCTTACGTGCAGAAAACTTATCCACTGAGTTTAGCTTGTCAAGTGCGCAGCCAGTGCCGTTCGCCTCAGGAGTGGATCATGGGCAGGGATCATGTCGTCATTCTGATCATAACCAGATTGGTTTGTGCCAGCTTGCAGAGGCGGATGGATCAACCTAAAAATGCAATTCATGGATGGAAACAAAGACAAAAACCCGCGGTCCCCTGGTGGAAAAAAATTGACCCATACCCACTTGGCTGTGGGTCAAAACCAATGGGATCCCATTTTGGGGTAGGTGCACCACCCATTTTAGAACCTATTTTAGTGGGGATTGGGATGTTCACTGGGGGTACGGGATTTTGACCCACAGCCACTTTGTCAACAACCGCTTTTTGCTATCAGCTGGCAATGCCACTGATTGGCATAGTGTTCCAATATCAAATTGATGTACCAATTTTTTTACCCACACCCAAAGTGAGAAAAAAAGCATACATGACCCCTCGGGCGGTGGGAGGCAATTCTCCCACTGAGTTCCGGGCGAAGGTCGCCGTCTTGCCCGTTCCCGACCTTGGGGCGAGCGGCTAGCGGAAGTCGCGGTTTGAGTCAAAATCCTGGCCTCACTTCAACCTCGTTTGTAGTTTGGAAGCATACCCCATGATTAGAGTTAGGCCCAGTTATAGAATGTACATTTTATTGTTTGCTTCACATAAAGTCACTGGTGAAATTGTAAAATGTATCCTAAGTCTACCCCAGACCTGTGTCCTTCGTCTTTTCATGTTGTTGTTTCCCTTTGTCGACTGGCATCTCCGGTGGCTTTTTACAAGCCTCTTGAAGCCGTCTGAGACATGCACTGGGCCTGGCCAATCGTGTCACGGCCATCCAAGATGGGCTTGATGCCACCTCAGGAGCCATGAAGAAAGTCAGCGATGCTCCTGTTGGCTCTGGGCTAGCATGTGTAAAAAAAACAAAACACTTGGATCCCTGGCTTTCTTATGTGCCCTCATAAGCCAAAACATGGGTCCCTGGTTTTGACCCACATGCCGCATGGAAAAACATCCAACATCCTTGACCCCGCTTGGCTGGCAAGCCCACCGCTCAGTGGCCCGAGCTGTTGCACCCTCTACCGAAAAAATGAGGTGCAACCAACCAACCAACCGACCAACCAACCAACCAACCAACCAACCAACCAACCAACCAACCAACCAGCTAGCCAGCCAGCCAGCTAGCCAACCAGGTCCGCCAGGGTCAGCTCTGTGCCAAACCTATGCCAAAAAAAAACACCACCCTTTCCAATCAATTTGACGTGTAACCAACAAAAACCCAACGAGACATCAGTGCATGGCTGCTGGGTGCAGCACGCTGCTGGATGGCCGAAGGCTTCTCAAAGCCATAAGAGTAAATGCCACCTCAGCGAGCGCACTTTCGCTCGCTCGGTCGGCTGTGGGATTCTGCACATTGGTTTGTCTTTTTTTTGGGGTAGCCCCCAAATGGTTGTTTCCCTTCACATTTCCCTTTAAACCAGCCCAAAGGGGCACCCTCGAGAAAAGACACGCCCAAATGGACCAATCTGTCTCCAGGGGACACGGACAATTTTTGGGTGGGCGGTTGTGCACGCTAGTTGTGGACAACAAAATGCATGAGTTTGACAGCTTCTGGCCAAGAACGTGCTCGTGAGCGAACAAGTACGCTCACAAACAAGTCCGCAACAAACAAGTCCACTCTCAGGGAAGACCCCTGTCCTTCCAACAGCTGATGGACCCATATTGCTGCTGCGAATTGATACTGCACGCAATCGAATGCACTACCCAATTTTGTCGGATGCTCGGGTGCTGAAACTCAGGGGACGGAACATGTGCAGAGGTCACAGGGTAGAGCAAGTGGGCTAGGTTCTTCGAGCACCAATTCAAATGCCATACTAGAAGGACACCATGTCAAAGATAGAAAGAGAAGTTAAGAGAAGATTATGAAAGTGATGACTGGATGGGTCTTCCTTTCACCGTTCCACCCTTTCGGCAAAGTAGGTGGAAAGGGGAAAGGAGACTCAGGCCTCACCAATATAATGGTTGCATCTGGGGCTGAGTTGGGATGTCTTGAGGTACCTTCCGGCTCATAGTCCAGAAGCGCTATCCCTTTCTTCATCCCCTTCCCTCTCTCACCCTCTTCTCTATCAGTGGAATTTTCAGACATGTGAAGTAATCCTGTGACAGGCAGGTGAGAGAGGGAAGGGCGCAACCTCTGTTTACTTTGCTCCCACCAGTTGAGTCCTTCGCAGATATAGAGACCGAATGGAGGGAGTAAACGAGGAAATAAAAAGGTAACATAGAAGTAAGAAAGCACTTGAGGACTAATACATAGTCTCGAGTTTAGGATGTATTTCCCCGGTCACTCACGTTCTTTATTTCTATCTGACCTTCATACTTGAAGATCTTGATCATAAGCAAACATCAAATTGAGGCAAGCAATGGTAAACAAGTATACAACAAATGCAATGATAAGCATGACATATTTAACATAATATTGATTTGTTTATCTGCGTCTCAATCACATGTACTAGTATTGTGCTATTTGTATGTTTCTTGATTTCCACTCAACTACTATATCATGTTAATGATACTTCTCCGCTTGTATGTATTCATGTTCTTTTGCTACATAATATATTGCATTGTACTTGCATTTTGTTAATACTTTGTATTCGCATTTTATATCATTACGTATATTATTAACAATTGGTGGTCTCTTCATTATGTGGTGTTTCATTTTCTAGGCGTGAAGAACTAATCAGAGAGAGAGAGAAATAGACACACAGATCAAGGGACAATCTATGTCATGCAGGCGAAATAAACCCACACATTCACTGCCTTTCCTTCTGGTTCTTTCTTATATAAATGTATTTTCATGTTCCTTTTCCATGTCTAATTATTTTGCGGGCACCAAACATGTTGCCGCATGTTGCTCACCACACTCTGTGGTTCCTCGAGAGGCGTGGAGGAAGGAGGAATGCTTGGCCCAAGAAACCAGCGAAAGGCAGCGCACCGCTCGTTGTTCTCCGCTTGTATACTTTGCGGGGCAGGATGGGAACCGGCACCCTCACACGGCGATCGTGGAAAGCGGACGAATGCTTAGACTTCAGTGTCAAGTTCTGGTGACCTCTAAAAAATTAAAGGCCCCCCAACACCCCTGATGTCTCCCCAACAAATAGGATAGACCCAAGCGCAGTGGGCTTTGCAAGCGTGCTGCCTCGTTGAAAGTTGCATTGCTGCTTCTTTGGGCGAGCAAACATTGGATGCTCTTCCGCGCTTCGCTTCCGACACGCACTTGTTCTAATGAATTCCATCCTGCAACGGTTGTATCGAATGGACGCACTGCTAGAAAACCCCTGGTCTCTCTCTCTGTCTTGCTTCAACCAATCTTGGACAAAGAATCAGTTCATCAGCTCCTCTTTGGACAGCTGTGTTGATTGGGCGACTGAGAGTGAGTCATTCGTCCTTTGGCTATTGTCCAACTACATTCCACGTACACGCTCCTCATTGGCTTTGACAGCTGTTTTGATTGGGCGGCTGAGAGTGAGTAATTCGTCCTTTGGCTGTTGTCCTAAGTTTTTTAGTAGAGAAGTTAGAATAAGAGTACCGTTTCTTTTTCCTGTAGTCTATTTTAGTAGGGGCTTGTTTTTTGCCGGAAAAAGGCTACAAGGGCAATAGTGGGGGACCTAGTGTCCAACTTGGATGTCCCAGTTACGAAGCAGGTTCTCGTCCAGGTCGTAGTCGTCGAAGGACTCGAACACTGGGTACTCCTGCGCCAAGCTTCCACGGGTCTCCCTTGGGAAAGGGCCTCCCAGTCACGATCTTCGAATAAGGAGGAATATGAGAAGGTTGAGCCAATGTGACTGCAATCAACTGCAAACAGTTTGAGTGTTGTCTTTGTAGAGCGAGCGCTACCTCGTCACTTGCAGCGTTGCCTATGTCCTTCTGTCCTTCTACCCAGCTGCGAGGCCTTCGAACCCCATTCGGTGAACGTCTGAGAGCAACCAACGGGTATATCGGATGTAAACCGATATTCCTAGTGGTAGAACACTCCGTGTCCTGGGTTGGCAGTAGAAGATTGAAGAGTTCTATGGCTCTCTGCGTCTCTGAATCCGTTGTGTGGCCTGTCCGCCCTGGTCACTGAACCTCCCTGGATGATCTTCCTTTTAGTCAAGACCCCTGGGAAAAAATGTCCAGTGGTGATAAATTCCTTTTACAACCAACAAGGGAAAATAGACAATCATATTCTTCAGCAAATGGAAGTGATGTAGAACCAAAAGCCAAGCCATGCGCAAAGGATCCCCACCGAATCCAAGCTACACGTCGTCCGGGGATCCGGTCCTCTGCTCCTGTCACGGTCACGCCCTCGGACGACATGGCTGTCAAATCCCTGCGTACCTTCAACCCTTTCTCTCACGATCGCTTGAATATGGCTCGCTGCGGATGAGCCAAAGGTGGCCGGCAGTGCAAAAGCGCCCAATGGTGCCCTGCGATTCATGCATAACAGACCCAAGCTGAAGCCTGCCCCAAACCTCTGCACAATCTCGCGTCCAAGCAGAAGAGCATGCAGATTCAAGGAACTCGGAACTCACAAGTGCAAAGACATACAATTATCAGCAAACTATCTTAAGCCTCCACATTGCACAGTGCCTCCTGAACTGTGCAATCTTTTGAAGTCAAGCAAACAAACAACACATGCAAGCGTAGACTGAAACTGCAATCCTAGTTTGGGCGATGGAGGCAAAAAACGTCTGTTGGATAGGTCGCGTGCGCTCAGAGGAATCCGGCACTCGAGCCCGCTCGCCTCGTATAGCATAGCCACCACCTCAGCAAACTACATTATGGGCATGTGAAAATAGAGCAAACCAGGTTCCCCTTTGAAAAAACCCAACCAAAACCACCCTTCAACAAAATAGTCGGTTGCAGCGAAGGCGTCTTGTACGCGCCACAATCCAAGGCATTCAAAGCCCATTCAGGCTTCATGCAGCACGAACAAGGCTGAAGCCAATATCACCGTTTCAGTTGTGGTATATGGGTCTGAATATTATTTAGGGACCCTTTGGTGGACATCATTCAGGTGAAGATCCATGTCCACCTAGGGTTCCCTATTAAAACTCATAGCCATGTTGCTTCGTTGGGATCACATCTGGGTCCTCTCCAGTAGAGAGGTTGGAACAAGGGTACCCTTTTTGCTGTAGTCTATTTTAGTAGAGCAACCCTCCCCACCAAAACATGGGTGAGAAAGGGTACCTAGCTGGGGGACCTAGACATTCACTCAGTCTGTGTCACCAAGACGAGAAATTCTGCACAGCTGGGTCCGCAAACGAGCTCCGAGGTTTTCTGCAAGGAGCATGTGGGGGGTTGATCAGAAGGTCACCTAAACTTGGTTGACGTTGGAAGGGGAGCAACAAGTGACTTGTTTAGCAGTTTCGTGGGGATTTCCCAATAAACCACAATAAGCAAAGATGTAACATGTTTCCCAACAACAACCATGTAAAGAGATGATACTTCCCACATGGGAAAAGTTAACCATGGTTATTTGGGGCCAGGAATATTGATCAACCCCCATGTGCGAAAAAACACCCAAACCCAAAATTGTGGGCCTTGCTTTTGACCTTCTCTTCGCAAGGTGCTTGTGAAAAGGGTTTCCGGGAAGCTGCAAAGCACTCACACAGACCCAAATAATCATGTTAATAGGAACCGCGGAATAAACTTCTACCCTTCGGGGGAGGGTGGTGCCACAAGTGAAGGATCCCAAGGCGACATCGCAGAACTGCCATCTTGCAACCCTGTGAGGCTCCTGCCAAAAGAGGAGCAAAGAGACCAATGCCACCCAAAGGAGAAAGGTCCTGGCGAGCGACATGTCTCAACACCTTGTTCGCCACTCAACACGTGGCATGTGGATTGACCGGCCTGAGGTGGCGAAGCCAACCCAACAGCAACGCCTGGCTCGATTCTGCAACGTACCTTGGCGACCTTTGGCAGCGACCCACTTTTGCCCTCGCACGAAACGCGTCAGCCTGGTATATTTGTATAAACCAGCTGCATGTCCAGCTGTGCACATGCCCAATCGGCTGACCTCTTGCTTGGGATGATCCATTAAACAAGGAGAAGCAAATCGCATAGCATCCGTTCCAGCTTGCGTAGGATCATAACTTCTTGAGCCTCCATCATGCGTCATTTCTCAGACTCGGTGGGGGAATCACAGGCCACTCTGGAGCATAGGCACGCATTGTGCAGCCGAAGCAAAGGCAGGGAGGGTTTCCCTCTGGGATTTCAGCCTGCACCCGCACCAGTGCGGCCACCAAATCGACTCTCTGCCACAGGATCCAATAAGGCTTGCGGGGGGGGGGGACCGTGTTCCATGCCCTTCATCTACCTGTTGCACCGCCACATTTGAACGGTCTGCCCTCATTTCCAACATCCTCCGCAACGAGCGCATCTCAGACATCTTGTTCGTTGCTCGGATCAAACACTCGGCTGACAATCAAAGACACTTCCTTTGGTGCGTGCAAGCGAGCTCGGGACCTTGCCGTGCCAAAGCATGGACCCTATTGCCCGGACTACTCGCAGTGAATTTCTCGCCGTTGCGATTTGAGGCTTCTCAATCTGACCAACCACTTCACCATCCATCTCGAATTAACACGAGGGCACCATGAGAAGCATCTGGATGCCTCTGGAATGGCCCGTGCGCATGAAACATCTGGCCGCCCCCCTAGCCGACCAGAAGCGACCTAGGAAGGCCTTCGGGCGCTGCACTTGAAGCACTCATTCCGGCGCGCGAAATTGTTGGTGTCGCACTTCTCGCAATTCCAATCCTCGGCAACCACCGGAGAAGGTCCGGTTCAACACATGAAAATAGTGGAAGGAAACACATAACCTGAGGACAAACAGTCTTGGCAATAGATTGAAATGTCTGCAGTGTGCCTATGCACGCCAACTCATTCACAGAATATCAGCGCATCGCTGACAGCTCGACTTGCAACCAAGGCACTCCTCCCCAATTTCCACTGGGCCTTGCCGTTGCTGCTGCAAACGCAAAACACTGGGCCCATCGAAGAAGCAGGTCAGGGAAAGCACGATTGGCAAAGTTTGTTTTTCAGAGTTGTCACTGACAAAGCCCTGCTCCAATTCCCTGACGTGCTTCCACCCCCATGCGAGTATGAATCCTGCGCGCGCGCTGCAATTAATTGGTTTGACCTGGTTTGAGCTTGCTTGGTACATTTATGCATTCGACTGTCAACTTGATAGACTGTTGATAGATATGTAGTCCTTAGGGATATTACGTGGTATTGGTACCCCATGTTTAGCGTGGTTACCTCACCATCTGTGTCGTGCTTTGCCATCACATGTTCAATCCTGATCGTGCACAACTTGGTACACGCACGATCCACGGAGTTGTCTGCATGTCCATGGTTTCCGCGCGGCAAGCACCATCCACGTGGGTGACGCGTGTGCCGCAAAAAACAACTGCGATTTCCACTGGCTGTTCGATGAATACGCACGATCCGTGCAAAGGGTCGACGGTCGGAGATCGCGGAGACTGCAATAAGTAGCATTATCTCGTACTGTGAATTGCAGTGTAGCCCAAAATAAAAGCATCTCCACTTGTTCAATCTGCACCCCTCACAACCCCTCCGAGTGTTCTTGCTGCGTTGGAATGAACCTGGCCCCCAAGGAAAGCACCGATGGTTTTCTTTGGGTCATTCCATGTCTCATTCTCTGCTGAGCACCAGCAAGTGTTTTAGGGCATGCTTTGGCAAGCCTGGGTTTTTCCAGGGGAAATATCCCTGCATTTTTGGTGAAGGGTTAACATCATGTCCTCTATGAAAATGGTGGGTACTGGGTGTAGGGGGGAGTCTCACTCCCTGAGTTCATGAACTTCTACTTTTGAGAGAGACGAATAGAGTGGCAAACAGACACTTTGAACGGTGTTTGGATGCACACAGCGAAGTGAGGAGGGAGTATCCTATTGAAATCGACAACCCAAATCATGGGCTACCCCCTTTTGCCCATGGGCACAGGTGTGGGCAGATGTGCACGGGACCATCACCAAAAAAAAGGGCTCGACTTCCCGGCCTTCCGCCAGGCCCAAATCGCCGGGGGCTGTGGTCGTCGTCCCGGCTGCGCCGGTCTCGGGACCTACCCGCAGCCAGAGAGGGAAGAGGCGGATGCGCCCGGAAAACTTCCGAAAAAGGTTCCTCAAGGTTCCCAGTCTCTCCAAGCCGTTGCAATAGATGAATTGTGATGTATCTTGGAATCCTTCACTACAAAAATCGATCATTTGTCCACCAAAGGTGGCAAAAAGACCCCCCTGCATGACATGACACCATATCACTTCTGGTGTTCAGTGCAGATTGATCTTCGCTACAAGCTGCAAACAGAGTATGTGCATGAGTCGCAGACTTCGAATGAAATTAGTGGCATGCAGGAAACCAGCCACAGACACACATGCATTGTTCTCGCCAAAGGCAATTAGTTCCTATTGTATCTGTACGGTGTTGAGCATACATTCAAAAGGCACTGTTCGAAGCAACATGTGAGTCAGAGCCAAGTCTCAAAAGGAATGCCTGTTGACAGCATGTTGCAGGTGCTCTGCAAAACACCAGCATGCAAACTGATAGTGGCTGATGCGCAATGGAACCTCCTCTTCCAGGATGAGCATTTTTGCGGTGGAACATGTATGGTCGAAACTCTGGGAAGGTTCTGACTCCAGTAGAGCGGTTAGAACAAGGGCACCAACTTTTTTCTGTAGTCTATTTTAGTAGGGGAACCCTCCCAACCAAAAAAGGGTACGGTAGAAGGGCACCTAGCTGAGGGACCTAGTCTTGGTCTATCAGAGTCTATCACTGCTCCTGAGACCGGGTCCTCAATCCTCCATTTGCTCAAGTCCCCTGGGAAAAACATAAATAAAACATGTTTCCAGTAGTGATAGATTCCCTTTAAAACCAACAGGGGGAAAACATATATACATATATAAAGAAAAAAACAAACTTAACCAAACGGAAACCATTGTCTGAGAAAAGACCGGCACCGCTCCTCCCAGAACCTCGGCGGCTCCGATCTCGGACGTCACGCCCGCGGGACCTGCGGACGGTGAAGGCACGGCGGAACTGCTTAGCATTGCTTAAGCCCCCGGGAGGAAACACAGATGGATTCCCAGCAGTGAAATCGATTCCCGGAGGATTATATAACAAACAAACACAGAATAGTTTTGCTTCAGTGGGGGGGGGGGAGAAAAAAAAAAAAATGGCTGTGGGTCAAAAAAAGGGGTAACCCCAACATGGCTTGCCCTGGAAATGGAAACATGGACCAGGGTACCTGCGGTCCAATTCCTGGTGGTTCTATCTTGACCCATGCCCAAATAGATTCCCTCCCAGTAGACATCGATTCCCAGGGGATTATGAAACAAATAACAAAAAAACAGTTTGGCTTAAGTCCCAGTAGTGATAGATTCCCTGAAAAAATCAACAGGGCAACATATGTTTGTTTGTTGATTTTTCTCAAGCAAATGGAAGCCAACATCTACTTGCCAGGAATGATTCCACGGTCCCAGGAAGTACCAACAATCCTGTCTAGAGGCTGACCAGGTCGCTGCCAGAAACAGAACAAGGCAGACATGGCACTGGAGGACTGGCTGATCTCAGGCTGATCAAAAGGACACTCAGCTCATTGCAAACCATTGTGGCATAGGCATTCTCTGAGCATGGTTATCCTCTCAAGTAGGGCATGCCAAGATGACATTTGAACCACCTCTGCAAAGTCCGCTGATTTTGCACATGGCCCAGATCGACTACAGCATAGGCCAAGCCAACATTCTTGCTAAAGCCGATAACATTGTTCCTGGCAAATGTGCGAATCTTGCCCTAAGTGAACAGTTTGCTAATTATCCTCTGGTTAAAGGGCCGTTCCTGGGCAAATGCTTGGGAATTTGAGCAAAGCGCTTCAAACACTGTGCACTTCCTTCTGTGGGACAAACTTTAGGCTGACATCTGTGCACATCATAGTGGCACAATTATGGGGCCTCGGGAGTCGGTCTTGGCTCTCTGAAAATATTTGGTGGGCGGTTGGCTCACAAAATGGGCCGATCGAACCCGTCCAGGAAGCTACTGCATTCAACAGTGTTTGACAACCTTCCAATTCGTTAAGACCCCTGGATTTTTTTCCAGTATAGTGATAAATTCCTTTTAAAACCAACAAGGGAAACATATTCTTGAGCGAATGGAAGCAACCTGAGGGCATTCAAAACCAGGTGCCTGTCTCGGAGGCATGACAACCGCATCTTGCCATTGTTCATAAAACGCCATTGGAACCGAATACTACTTGGGACGGTGCAAAGCATGTGGCTCATGCGTGACATGCACCTTGTGTAGGGGCATCTAAGTTACGAAGAGCATTTTCGCTGATTGTCTGAACCCTTTTGTCAAAGGTTGATGATCACCCTTATCAACCAAACAACCACGTGTTTTTTGAGCATTTGATCATGGCAGCACCATGCATGCTCCCGGGTGTCAAATGAGCGGTGTTCTACAGTTCTAGGGGTTGATTCCCCATTCTTTCTTTCCAAAAACTGGCCGTTTTCCCTGGGATTCCGGAGGTTTTCTAGAAAGAAGAATCTCTGGAAAGAATGGACATGGACGGTACCGTACCCCCTAGAATAGCGTTCTAAACCCAGCTGCGGCCAAACCTAAATATCGCCTCCCTTTCACCAAGGCTTTCGTGGAGCTTTCGCGGGAAATGAGGTGTTGAGGGAATTTGCTGTCGCGCCGCTTTCGCGGATGGAGACATAGGCTTCAAGCGCGTTTGGTTTTTTTTGTGCTCGCAAGTGTTATTTTCCTCGGGAAGCGCACAAACAAGCTTGGGCAGATTGAAACTTGATTGTGCGACACATGCGGAGAGGCTGGCAAGTTCCAGGGGCCTCTTTCGCAAAGCTTTTGCGATCCTTTTGCGGAGTTTTGCAAACGCTACTTCGTCCCGAATACTACTTTTCAAACGCAGGGGTTTTAGAACGTCTCTCAAATGGAACTTTGCACCGCCTGCGGCTGTAGTCTCTGCTGCGATCACGGCGGTCATAATCGCCAGACCTACATTGGCATGCCGCAAGCATGTCGCTGTGTTATAAACTGAATGGTTTCTCATTTGATTTGCTGCAACACAAACTCTGACATGCAGCACGGGCACATATTTTGAACACTATCTTTGTCTTATACCCGCACCAGCAAGCACACAGTACGGTGTGGCAACCAGTCTAGCCTTCGATCTCTCCTGGAGCGGTCTCGTCGGTCATCCCTGCGATCATCCCTGCAAGCAGAGTGTGCACCTACTCACCATGTGTCCAACAAAAGAAGCGTCTGCAGCATGGTTTTGCCCGCCAACAGTACCACTGGACCAGTGCTTCCACATCATCGGGAGCAGGACAAGCAATAGTCAGGCACGGAAAAATCTGGCCTGTCACGGCTTCCACGCCTGTCCTCAGCTGAGACATGACGCAAACAAATGGAGAAATGGTCCTTCGGAAGCGGCAACTCAGCAAGTTTGGTTTGGAGGCGTGCCAAATCATGCAAGGACTCGTGCTTAAAAAGTCAGGTGATGGTTTAGGCAGCTTTATCTATTGTCAAATAAACATCCACTCATTCACCCGAACTACTCTGCCGCTCATGACCAACTGGCCCAACACCTTCAACGTGTCCACTCCCAATTCTGCATGATTCATGTCGCCAAGCTGCATAATCCGGGCCTTTGCCTGAGCGAATCGAGTGCTCCGTCTTGCCAAGCCAACCAGCTATGGCCACTGTGACCATCGCCCACTTGCCGTGTCAATGGCCACAGTGCCAACCACGCTAACCATTCCAGCGCCAACCACGCCACATAGCCAACCACGGCCAAACTCAGTTGGATGCGCCGATGTGTGCATGTGTGCTTTTTTTCGGGAGACTGCACTAGGGGTTGGTGGCCCAAGCAATTCGAGCAAAACTGAAGATCTGTGCTTATGAACCGCTTCATTGCAGCAAGTCCTGGCAGAGAACAGCTACCCACAACATGTAATGTGTTTTGAGATCTGCACACCTACGTCAGAAGCCGCAAGTGTGTTCGCCATCACCTTGTACTGCCTAACCCATGTTCAAGACCGGAAATAATGAGCTCTTGACACACGCACCACATCCTGCCTCGATCACGGCTGTCCTTGCTCCTTCGCGGGGGGCTTTCCTGGTACCTGTCCATAGCATTTGCCTCTCTCCAGGGAGAAGCTCGGTCCTTGAGGGGTGCCCAATCTTTGCCAGGACATGCCGGGGGATGTCTGACTGTCTTAAGGGCCATGCCTGACTTTCAGCCCAAGCTACCTGCCTTCCAAATTTCTTGCCGCCCTTCTTGACCGCATGATATTCCTTCTGCCCATAGGGACTCGGCATGCCATTCCTTTCACTCGGCATCGCCGGACCTTCGTCGGCTTTGGCCGCGCTCGCGGCTCCCATCCCGGTCACCTCAGCGGATTTGCAGGCCGGGATTGGCAGGGACTCGGCCGGCATAACGCTAGGCCCGGAGATCTCATGGTCTCACCACCCCCGGCAAAGGGATAAGGGTATCACCACCCCCTTAAGGAGGGGGGAGACCTGAAAATGTAATCTAAGGCATTTTTGAGGTTCGCGCCAGCTAGGCAATCCAATAAGGAAGCCTTGGGGTGCGCTGGGTGTTGCTCAAAATTGGGCTCGGACCGATTCCTCCAGGTAGGAATCGGTGTCCATTCGGTTTCCGAACGAAAACCATCCAAAAGGGGGTCCCCTATTTTGAGACACATCCATTTGCCTATTTATGGGGAAATGTGCCCAATGGTATGGCACCCTTCTGAATGTAAGTTTGCTGCGACGTCCTTTTGAACCCATCCACCAGCAAAAAAACACCCTGACCAAGGACAACCCTTCATGTGCAATCACAATGTGACTTGCTGGCTGAGTGGAGAAATTGGACGAATTAATAAAGAACAATGAAAATACGGTTATGTGCAAATTATTATCGAAATATATTATCAGCTTTCCTTTAATTGGTGGTTTGGATTGGTGGTTTGCTGGTTAAGCAAGGGTTTCCCATTTATACTCTCTACAAACCAGTCCAACGGTTGCATGGGAAATACCGAGATTAAAGACACAACAAAGCCCATGTCGGAGATTAAAAAAAAAAGGCAGCGACTCCTGCAACTTGGCTTTGCTGTGGACTTAGGGCGCCCTCCCGGCTTGCGAAAAACTCTTCTGCCCAGCGGCGGCTAGAGTTGCGCGACATACTGCGGAGGTGATTCCCCAAATGCGACCTGAGATCCACAAGCATTCGTGCACAAACCTGCGCCGACAAATGCCGATATCAATGCAACATGTGCCATCTGCGTTGGATGGCGTGAGCAAGGAGCATAAATGTAGAAGCGCACCCCGGAGCGAAGCTCCTTTACGCCAATTTCTCCCAGTTGTGACATTTTGGCCTGATCGCCATTCAACTGGCTGATTCCCACCCTGCCACTGAGCGTCTGAGCACATGGCGGAACTCTAACCAGCTCTCGCAGCCAGGAAGCTCGCTTAGTGTCAGCCAGTGATTTGTATATTATGTTTTCCAGCATGGCTTGCCTAGAGCAAGAAAGAGCACAGCATGACCTGACCAACTGTCCAACTAGATGCGGTGCATATCGAAGATTCGAGACTCGACCCTCGTGCAGCAAACGCCCTCTCCTGGGTCCGTCCAAACCGCGTAGCCCAAGAAGCCATGGTGTTGCTTGGAGAGTGGGCTGCCCATTACATTGATCAGTCTAATATTACTAATGTACCTTGAGTCATAGTCTGCCCTTGCATGCATAACACCAGGCTTCTCACGCGCGTCCCTTTGACGTTCAGCATCGTGCATACAACTTATTTTATCATGTAAAAGTGTCAAGTAAGGTCAGCCTTCCATTGCAACGCACAGAATGATCTGCGACCAGCAACATGCACCAGGCGCGCACACAGCCAACTGTTCTGTATTTTGCATGAATAGAAAATGGCAGCTGAATTCTCTTTCTTGTTCTTGTCACTGGCAACATGGCTGTTAGCAGCCTCGCCCATGACTCACTTGATTGAGCTCCAAGACACATATGCTGGCAAACACCCTGTGCATGGTTCATCTTTATCGCCACCTTCCCCTTGCCCCTTCAACACGACTACAAAGCAATCAAACACACAATCTAGAAAGCAGCATGTCACCCATGGTGACAGGGGTCAAACGATACTTTTAGGATCTGAACCAACCAGACTCTCAGAGGTGGTCCCTCAGCCCACCTCTCCGTCGTGCTGCCGCGTGGCCGGGAGACGAGGCCAGCGCCGTTGGATCCGAGCCCAAGCGCTTGCGCTCACGCAGAAACGTGCAACAAATGTGACGTGAGCGCAAAGAAACCACCCAGATTGAAGGAAAGGCTGTGCAGCGCGAAGAAATGAAGGTATATGGCCCTATTTCTTCTTTTTTTCAAGAAAAGAAAAGAACAACGTGCCCAGTATGGCATCAAAAGGCACCATTCCCAATTTTCCCGTGCCCTAAGATGGGTGCAAGTGTCACCGAGGAACAACGTAGAGCCTTGGCGAAGCACATCGCCCTCCTTGTCTATTCCAGGTTGACGTTGGAAGGGGAGCAAAAAATTAAATTTTAGCAGTTAAGTGGGGATTTCCCACTTAACCACAATAAGCAAAAATGTAAAATGTTTCCCAACAACAACCATGTATTGCGGGAACGGCCTTGCTTCCAGCACGGAGCTCCTGACGGCGAACTGCACCTTCTCGAGCCCTTTGGCGAAGCACACCAAGACCTGTCTCCAAGCACAAAAAACTATGCGCACCTTCTGTCAAGAAGATTTCAGAAGGGGTGTTTCATGAAAAGCCACTGAGATGTGGGGTGGAGAAAGCGTGCACATGAAGCTGTGTGGCGCGGCACAAGCACAAGACTGACTGCAAGGATGCTGAGAGCCTGAAGGGCTACTGTGGGTTTCCCACTTGAGAAACGGTAAGCCTCAACGAGATGGTGGGTTTCCCTGATGGCTTGGACTTAAGCCAAGCTGAGAAATGGTAAGCCTCAAGACACGCAGCAAACCCTCCAAGCCCAATGCCACCAGGAAGCCCATGGATGGGATATACAGCAGCCGCTCCGCCACCAGTGTGCCTGGCCGCCAGAAATTCCGTGAAACCTGAAGAGAGGTTCACTGCGCACAGAAACGAATTAATACAAGGGTTACTTCCAGCCATTCTTTTCAACCATGGCATCATGGTTCTTTTGAAAAACCGGATCTGTTTCCAACCTAGGGTTCTGATGGTTTTCAGGAAAGATTCGGATCAGTGGAAAGAATGGGGAAGTGTCCCCTAGAATTAAGCTCAACTGAGTCATAACCAAAACCGGGTACTAAAATGGTCCACCCAGAACCATGCAAATTAAGAAGGCGGATATCCGCTGCTATTTCTGGTTGGGATTATCCCTTACTAACCTTCATCTACCCGGGCTTTGATTGTGGCTCAACTCACTTGTGGGTGGATGACGCAGTTTTTTTGTTCGATGCACAAACACAAACATACACAAGCACAGACCACCAGAGACCACCAAAACCAAGCGGGGCAACACCCCGAATCACCTGCAGCATGCGTGGCATGTGGCATGAGCCCGGTGCCAGCCAAGTCCACAAATCCAACAACCCATCCCTTGGCCCGAGGCCGCGACCATACATCTAGAAAACGGTTTGGATGTGGTTTTTGTGGTTCCACCCCTGTAGAAGGTTAAAAGAGTACTAAAAGATTACAACAAAAGGACCAACAGGGGGAAGAATAGGTGAAATCCACAAAAGGCGCATCCAAAATGGTTTCTAGAATATATATATATATATGTATTAGGGTTGTGCAAAATTACTTCTCCTGAAAACTGCCCTGACGGGCCAGCCTTCAAAAACAAAACTTCCGCGCACTTCTGCGCCCATTGTAAATCTACAAGTCGTCTGGTGTTCGATCTATGTTTTCGGTTCCTGGCCCTTCTGCATCTCTTCCGCCGCCCTTCCGCGTCTCTTCCGCGCAAAGCTCATGCCATGCAAGCCTGTAAATTCGGAAACTAAGCCGAATACATGGGTTTTAGCAGGACACCCATAATATATACATATACATGTATATATAATCACATGATTATTTTCTACTTGTATAATACACACACACATATATATATATGTTTTTATATATGTATCAGTCCAAGGTTGCTGCTAAGATGTGAGAAAGAGCATGGATAATCCGCTTGGCATGAGCTTTGCTCAACACATCCAGTAGACTCTGGCCTACAGGGATGGCTGTGGGGAAGGACTCACTCACTTTCCAGGCAAACCGGCGGACTCACCATATGCCTGTGGGTCAAAACTTGAGAAGCAGGTGAACGAAAGCTAACTGCACGGCAAGGCACGCGGCCGGCACTTTTTTTTTCTGCGCCGGCACGTCTGCTCGCTGGCTGCTGCCAATGTTAACATGGCGAACTGCGGACGGGATGCAGCCAGAAACAGGCTCCAGACTAAACTAAATACTGGGCCAACATGTAGTGAATATCCCGCTGGAGCCCTTCACCCAGAGAGATCGACCAACACCCTTGGACTTCAGCACTTTCTCGAGTTTCACGAGAATCCGTGCGTTTTGACTTGTGAACGAAAGTTAGTGTCGCCCCAAGCTTCTGCACGAGCGCCTCAGCAAAGGCTTTCGTCGACATGATGCACGCGAGGTAGATATTCCCCCACATCTTGGTCGGATGGTCCACCAAGACCTTCTCCACCGGCACGGTGGTTACATCCCGTGGGTGGTGGTTAAACTTCACCTGGTCGCGGCCACGCTGGTTGGAAGCAACCCGTTACGTGCGTGCGAAAAGAGCTTTCGTCATGTCCAGGCCTTGCGCACAAGGCCGCCCACTGTCCACGGCTGCTTCTGCTTCAGCTCGCCTGTGCGCAGGACATCCACCGTCTGGTTTTGCAGGTTTTGAGGAACCTTGTCATAGCCACCGCTGAGGCAACTCAAAACCGGATCGAGCCTGCGCGGGGCGCACGCGCTATTGGAGCCAGGTAGCTGCCGGCGAATCTGCGTCACAGCTGTTAGGTCAGACCGACGCCGGTCTGCTTTGTCACAGCTCGTCGAGCCAGGCCACTGGCGCAGCCAGCTATAACGCCAAAACTCTGGTTTGAGAGGGTTTGCCCGCCACGAAACCAACCGAAAACAACTACAACCAACCAACAACCGAAGTACCGGACGATTCGGCGGTCGAACCACCTTAAGGTTAGTGGCAGGCGACCCAAAGCCCACGGAACCGAAGACCCCGGTTGGAGCGAGGTGCATGGCGCGCCAGGCTTGCCGACGCATCCCGGGCGAACATCGGTCAGAAGGTGTTCTTGAGATGGCCCATGCAAAAACTCTTATAGCTGTCCTGCAAGAACAAATCCAGGGAAGGGTTGCTTTGGGCCCCCTTTGGAGGAAACGGGTCTTCCACCGTCCATGTTGGTCCTGAGATCCGGTGCTAAAAGTTAAACCTCTGGAGCCGCCTTAAGCTTAGTGGCAGGCGACCAACCCAAAGCCCACGGAACCGAAGACCCCGGTTGGAGCGAGGTGGTATTGACATGGCCCACGCAAAAACCTTCACAGCTGTCCTGGAAGAAGAAATTAACCGGGCGATCTTGGAGGGGGCGGGCTGCTGAAGTGCTGAATTCAAGGAGCTTGAGAGTTGCTTTGGCCCCGTTGGAGGAAACGGGTCTTCGACCCCTGTCAGGCTCCATGTTGGTCCTCAGATCCGGTGCTAAAAGTTAAACCTCTGCGTTGAGAGGGTTTGCCCAACCACTCAACAACCAAAAACAACGAAAAACCGAAGTACCGGACGATTCGCTGGTCGCACCTTAAGGTTAGCGGAAGGCGACCCAAAGCCCACGGAACCGAAGACCCCGGTTAGAGCGAGGTGCATGGCGCGCCAGCGGGCCGCTGCCGGAGAAGTGCTGGAGCTAAGGAGGCACGGCCCCAGCGCAGCACAGGAAACAGAGCAGTCTCAAAGACTGTTCCGGGATTGATACTGTCGGGAGGTTCGAGCCTGAGCGTAGTAGGACCTGGAATGGACCAGGGAGGAATCGAGCCTGAGACCTGGTGGACCAGGGAGGAATCGAGCCTAAGGACCGGGTGGGGGGGGTTCTATCTTTCGGCATTTGAGCTCCGTACCTTGCTTTCGCAAGGAGAAACTTCAGCTAGCTAAGCTAGCTTTCGTGAATAGGGTAACCCCAAAATGGCTTGCCCTGGCAGATGGAAACATAGACCAAAACCTGTGGCCCCCTGATAATTTGATTTTGTCCCACACTCATATCCTTTGCGGTAAGCACAGAGTGTGACCGTGGCTCAATCTGTGCTTTTTGCAGGAGGCTCTTGCCGCTTGCCATTGTGTTTTGCGCGAGTTCAGGCCTATCCATACCTTGCATGTTGTGCTAGTTGCCTGCTACTAACGAGGGACCAAGCCGCCATGCGCAAAATTGCCATGTCGGTTTAATGCATCGTGTTAACGAGTGAAGTTGTGTCTCGGGACAAAGGATACCTGCCGTAGACTTCCAAAGGACATTAAATAAATGGCTGAGGTGGCAAAGTACATTTTCTGGGAAAAGGCAATTTTTTGCTTAAATTTGGTTGGATCATGATTTTCACGAAAATCACACTTAAAAGTAGCTGGAGGGGGCTGCACAGTCCCATTTTGCCGAGCTTGAGAGTGCTTCGTGCGCTTCGCACTGCCTTCTGCAGAAACTTGCCAACGTCAGCCACGGGGCACGGCTCGGGAACTGTTTATTTGATTTCTGCATATACTGGTCCAGCATACATCCATCGATCCATGCATGCATATTGGCAATTGCCAAGCCAGAAAAGAGCTACAAAGTCCTGTGAAGTCACGTGCCGCGAATTAACACCAAAATGGTGCAAAAACGGGATGTGCAGAAAATGTCTTTTCTACGGCAATAAATGGCCGTTCTACGGCAGAACATGTACTTTCTACGGCAGAAAAATACTTTCTACGGGTTGTCTACGGTTTGTCTATGGTCACAAGCAACGAGCAACGAGCTCAACAAATCTCGGCTTTACGACTCGACCTGATGTGAATATCCTGATTTTGCAATGTGTTTTCCCTTCTGCGGAGTCAAGTACCCCTGACTTACACCGTACTTTTCGTAGCGGTTATTTGCTTGCCTATGGTTTTCCCGAATGGTTTGCCTGTGGTATGACTATGATATGTCTACGGTATGTCTATGGTTTGTCTATCGTCAATGTGCCCTGATGAGAGCACTCGTAGAAATTGAGCCCCCATGGTGGATGCAAAAAATGTCCCTTCTCGAGAAAAAATTTGTCCGTTGTCCCAAGGACATTTATTTAATGGCCGAGGAAGTTCTGGGCCTGCGTGACACAACATCAAGGTGCTTGACACGACCTGCGCACAAACATATGCATGGGGCGGACATCTTTGTCGCGGCCAGAGTAGCTATCTTTGGTGCTCCTCAGTATGTTCTCCAAAGCATAGAACACCAAAACGTTGACTCGGTTGCTTTCTGCTCCCCTGCTAAAAGTTTAACTTTTGGTGGCTTCATGGAAAACCAATTAGTTGGCAAAAAGCTAAAGTCCTAACATCCAAGCAAAATGCTGCAAAGTTGACATGAACTCTGGTTCAAAGTTCCCCCTTCTTTTCTATACCCAAAGAAATCCCTGACCGGGCCTATGGGAAAGAGGATGTTTGTCATCGGCAAGAAGCTGAGCACGAAAATCGCCAAGCCCAGCACCGGCGCCTGGCAAAGTCGTTGAAAAGGCAAGCAGAAACCCGGGACCAACACCGTCTACCCTTTATGATTGGACTTAGGCCCAGTTATATAATGAATAATATTCTATTGGTTGCTTCCCTTTGAGTCGCTGGTAAAATGTGAAATGTATCCTAAGTCTATCCCAGCCTTGTGGTTTGGTCATTGCTTGAAGGTTCGGAGCAACCTGTACTGAACAACTAGCTGCGCCATGTAAAGCTTCTTGGAGGGCGCTGGAGTTTCATGTGCGAAGAAGCCATGCAGCTGTCGATCTTATGATAAGGGCTTTCTTTGCAGAAGGAAATTGAGCTTCAATGAGCTTCTGGGTCCCCATCAACCAGCAAAGTCAAATGCAAGCTCAGCTTGTTACCTTTCCACCAGAATCAATCGAACCTTGCTGGCTGGTATTCATCCACCTTCCGGCTCAGAAACCTGACAGTTCGCCAGCGCAGTCCCTCATATTCCATCCAACGAACACAAAAAACTGGCTGCAATACAAAAGGAGGTGGGTGCGCCTGTTTTGGAGTTGGTAGCCCCTTTCCCGGCGCTGGGAAACCAAAAGGAACACCCATGTCGCGCCACTTTTTCGTGGGGCCCTAGCCTGGAAAAAAAACACAACAAAACGCGGGGTGGTTAAGGCAAAATCAAAAGGAACACCCACGTCGCGCCTTTTTTTGTGGGGACCCCAGCCAGGAAAGAAAAAACAAAAACGCGCGAGATGGCAAAGAAACCAAAAGGAACACTGACCTCGCGCCAATTTCTTGTGGGGGCCCCAGCCCACAAGAAAAACAGAAACCCAAAAAACAAAACACACACAAAAAAAAAAGGGCGGAAAAAAACGCGACAAACCCGCCGGGTTCCTTCGCTCAAAAAAAGCAAAAACCGGCCTGGCCGTAGCTCCTTCGGCCCAAGGCGCGGCAGCCCGCCGCCAGGAAGCCCAGGTACCTCGCCACGTCAGCTGCACGCCGAGAGCCGAGAGGGTCGACGGTCGGCTGCCCGAGTTCTCCCCGGCGAAAAATTTCCCCCCCCCCGTACCCCCCAAAATGAGACAAATGGAAACCCCCACAAAAGTCACTAAAAGGCTAACAAGCTTTCAGGTGATGAGAACTTTTGGTGGCTGAAATTCAAAAAGGGCTAAAAAGCCAAGGGACCGGATGGCTGGGAGCCACCAAGCAAGGTGGGTGAACTTGCGATTCGGTGCCAGAGATGCAGAAAAAATGGAAAAGGAATGAACCCGAAGAATAAATCATGCTGGTGGTTTATGCAGAACAAAGTCGGAAAGGAATGAACCCGAAAAAATAAACCATACTGGTTTCCTTGAAGTTGGAACCCCCAGGGTCATTCCAACTCATTCCGTATACTTATCGCACCAGGATTGGCTTCTGGGCTCTCCGTTTTCAGAATTCCCGCTAAAAGTGACTAACTTGTGGGGTAAATACGGAAACCCACTACGCACTAAAAAAGCTGAGAAGCCAAGGGGATGGCTGGGAGCCACTAAGGTTCATACTGTGGATGGGCGCGAAATCCTCTCACCCAAGAAAACCTGGTTTCTGTTGGGTCAGTAAATCACTGCCATGCACTTGCTGGCTGAAACAAGCCCTCGGCAAACAGTTCTTCACTTTGTGTGGGTCCATCCAAAAAACCCCACCCGTTTCAACCAAAATGTGAAAAGTCCAAAGATCCAACCAAATACCAAGAAAGTTATATCAGAGAGGGTCATATGACCACCATTTGCCGTTCAGGAATTTCAGCATGCAAATGTTTGCCATTCTTTTAATGGGGGCTAAACCCTAGGGTGGAGGGAATGTGACAAGGCAACAAAAACACACATTACGTGACAAAAAGAGCCCAGGAGGCCGATGAATTGCACAAGTTCCAAACAGGCTGAGGACAAAAGAAATGACTGCTGGTAGATTGCTAAAAAAATCTTCATACCTTGCCCTTCTTTTGATCCTTTTCGATTTAGCTAGCTCTACAAAACTGCCCGACGCTTGCATCAACTGAGTACTGCTCACATTGGCTTCTGCCGACAGCCACGTCGAGCGGCAGTAACGTGCTAGATGTGCTTACTTTTAACAAGCTGTCGATACATCCGCAATGTCAAAAGTTTCAAAAGGATCCGGGGTGGAATCAGCAGGACCATTTTGTTGAACGCAGCTGCTTGGCAGGTGAAATAGGCGACTTCGTGGAGATGCTAAGGCCTTGGACACGCTAAGATGTAGGAGATGTCTTGACTCCGAATGGAATGGCTGGTCAAAATCCCGGTTAGCCCCGAGATGCCCCGAGTGAACATCCGAATTCCACCACTAAAATAGGCTCTAAAATGGGTGGTGAATTCACCTACCAACCAAAATGGGATCCCAAAACGGTTTTGACAACCACAGCCGAATGAGTGTCCTCTTGCTTCCCTCTCTTTGGTGCCCTGCGGTGCGCCGATTTTTTATCTCCCGTTCCGCTGTGAGACGCTTTCCGCGCGGTGCCGTTTTTTCACTGGCAGATGTGGTCTCGGTCCATGTGCATCACGTGTCTTTCTGTCTGTTCGCCGGCTCTGGCTTCTGATTGGCAGGGAATCCAAGTTGAGAGCGGCCACGCCAAACCACAGTTTTTATGGCTCATCCATAATCTGGACGCGGACCTCATCTCGCAAGTCTCGATGATGTGCGGCATCACCACAATGCGACGGCCAAAGTGCAAAAGTGTCCAGCAAGCATTCCATGGGAATAGCAAAGTCGGAATCGGAATCCTCAGAAGCCATCAAGCTGAACACCGCCGAGCCCCTTTCCATGATTAGACTTCGGCCCAGTTACAGCTTACTACTTGGGACCGCGCTGAGTGGCCTGCAAAGAAGAACAGCACACCGCATCGATTGCATTGCTGCAAAGGTGAACCACTGCCACACAAACAAACCAGCAACGCGCTTCGCTGAAACTCAAGGGTCGCACTTAGGAATTCAACCCCTCTAAATTAACGCCACTTTCGGTGCCAACAAACATGGAGCGGGGCCAAATCGATGCTTTTCGGGAAGGGTCCGTCCTCGAAGTTGTCGCTACACTCCAGGCTGTTGCCATATCTTTGCCGCAGCACAGTGAGAAACTCCGCGCCCTGTTGCGAGCAGCCGGCAAAGTAGAACATCGCCTCCGTGTTTCCGCGCCCAGGGCCCGTGCCATTTTTGCAGCCAACGTTTTGTTCGGGCTGTAAACTCAAGTCTTGGAAACACGGGAACATGGGTTAGCATGCAGACATACGGTCGAGGCATCATCCCGCCGCCTACCCAGGCTCTGCGGGAGAGAGCATTTGATCGGAAGCAGCTGCGCCCAAGCCAGGAACTCTCCAAAGAAAACACTGGGCGTCAGCCCAAACGACCCCCATTACAGCAATGCTTGACCCAAGTTGGACGAAATTCCTGAACGATACATCGTGGCTCTATCAACCCTTGAGTTCTCATACCTGAGCCTTAGGGGAAGGGTTTTCCTACAAAAACCCAACCAAGAAGTGGTTTTGTTGGTGGTTCGGGGCCTATACACTAGTTGCACGCCTACGCGGAAGCCTCCGCAAGCCGACGCCGCTGCAAAGGAGCATAAGTCAGCTTCCAGGTGCCTACGCGGACGCCTACGCGGGCAGATGTCCAGTTCAAGTGTTGAAGTGCAGCTTGGCAGCTCCAACTGGAAAATCGCAACTTTTCAGTACAAGAGCAGCTTTGGCAGCTCCAGCTCTAAGATGCTCTAAGATCACCTTTGCAACACAATTGAGAACCCATCTGTTGAAGCCTACGCGAATGCCTACGCGGGGCCTACGCGGAGCCTACGCGAAGACTGCAGAACAAACGGAGGAAAGCCAAAAGAAGCTAACTCCGTTGTACTTGGAAAACAGCATTGAACCATGATTTGTTCAAACGCCTACGCGAAAAGCCTACGCGAGGGTTGACACAACAACCTACGCGCAGAAGCCTACGCGAGCCTACGCCCCCAAGGATTCCTTTCATTTGCCAGCACATGTAATGTGGGGTCTTGGCTTGTGGGGGCCTTCCCCCCTCCATGAAAAAATCAAAAAACACAACTGCTCCAACTTTGATTCAAACAACCCGCTGCTCCACCAGACCTTCACCGCTCCGCTCCGCACCTTGACCCGCGACGTTTGAATTTTGCCCCGCGCCTTGAGCTCCGCGCAGCGCAGCGAGGCCTTGGACTCCGCGAAGCCCTGCGCGGCCTGGCGCAGCTCCTCCCGGTCCACGGGGCCACCGGGGCCACCGCGCAGGGCGCGCGCCACCGCCGCCACCTGGCCACCGCCGCCGGGCAAAAACCGCGGGGAAACCGCGGGGTTCGGGTTTCGGGTTCGGTTTCGGCCCAGGTAGCCAGGTCCTCCAGACCTGAGAGGATAGAAGAAGGGCGCCAATTGCTGCCCTTTTTATGTAGGCTATGAGACTATTTTAGTAGGGGAAGCCTCCCAACCAAAAAAGGGGTAACAGGGCTCGACTGGGGGACCTAGTAGCTGAGAACTCGGAATCCACCCTTCTGCAACCGGCCCCAAGCTCTATCTACAGGGCTTGGGCGCTAACATTCGCCCCAAAGTTGATGAACTTGTTGGTGTCAGTTGAAACTGCCACTCTTGGAGGTTCCCAAAAGGGAAATGGCTCGGAAGCCCTGCAATACCTGGTGTTTTCCCATGGCCAAAACACCGGTCCCTGAGCCGAAATGAAATCCCCAAAGAATAGCTTCTCAGGTGAGCAAGTTCGGGACGCCAAGTGGGGGAAGCAACCTCACTTGAGCATGTGTTTTTAAAGAACGGACACCCCCCTTAATGGTGATGGTCCTTCGGGTTTTTCCTTTTAAAACCATCAAAGAAACGGGGTGCCCTGAACAAAACTCCCACTTACTGACTTTGGCAACCTCCTTTCCGCTTTCCGCTGATGCACCTGACGTGCGCTGAGCATAGGTTTGTACCGTTTGTACCGGCAACCTCCCGAAAATCGTCCCAAAACCGTCCCCAGTCTCTGGCTAGGTCCTCCAGAAACCGGGTAGCCTTTCTTCTGTTGTCTATTTTAGTAGGGGAGCCCTCCCCCCAAAAAAGGGGTGAGAAAGGGCACGTAGCTGGGGGACCAAGTCTGGGGTTCTCCCAGCTGTGCTTCTCGTGTGGCCTGCCGCGCGTGCCGCTTCTGCGCATGGTGCCGCGCCCACTCCTCGGCGCTCAGCTTCCGTTCAGGCCACCAGTGGTCGAGGAAGTCGAAGCCCAGCCAACCGACCAGCGGGCCCAGGCACCGCAGGAGGAAGTCCTGGACATGGCACACATGGGTGTGGCTCAAAATTAAAAAGCTCGGGTTACGCAGGGTTTAGTCTTTGGCTCCATTTACCCAGGTGCCATTTCGGTACTTTTTTGTGAGCCACAGCCAAATGACCATGGATCAAAATCCAAATCGTACCCCCAGTGAACCAGGGCCATCTATTTTTCCAAGGGACACCTATGATCATATGGCCATGGGACAAAATCCAAATCGCTTAGCCCTCAGTGAACATCCGATTCAATCCAACCACTAAAATAGGTTCTAAAATGGGCGGTGAATTCACCTACCGCAATAATGGTACCACTGGTGTTGACCCACAGCCAACATGAAATGGAAATGCGTCCCGTTGATCAAACAAAATGGCCACGCATCCTTCGCCCCACCATACTGAAATGTATCTGGCTTTCATTGAGCTTAGTGACTGAGTTCAGTAATGTGAGCTAGGTTTCGTTGGAGTCTGCGGTCAGCTACCCAAAACGCAAAGGCCCCAGATTGTTTGGTCATGACTCCAGGTATTGTGCTTCGGGTTGCCGACAAAACACATTTGGAGACAAAGCCAATGGCTGTGACAACACATGGGATCCTTGTGGGATGATGCGAAAGTACGCTTTGAACATAGCTGAAGGTTTGAATGCTTCCCACCGCGGAAGCAAGTCAACAAAGCATAGACAACCGAGAGTCCGGATCAGCCCTTGATTCTTGATATCTAATACACCAACAATACCCGTGTGATGTTCCCTCTGAGAACGCGACTGCCAGTTGAGCATTGACTACTGACGGCAAGAATATGCAAGAACTTCTGAGTCCTATCAACCCTGAACAACCCAGCTCGTCGCTTGCAAACAAAGACAACTCTGAATTCAATTCAATAGACTTGAAGAGCATGTGAACCCGCAGCCTCACATATGAGCATGTTCACCTGAGCAGAGTTTTCTGTTAGAAGGTAATGCTAATGACGTATCAAACGCCTACGCCGGCGCCTACGCCATGTGCAAATACCATGCGGGACGGTCTGCGCGAGATGCATGTCAGCCTTAAACCTCCTAGGCAAGCCTACGCGGTTGGAGTTTTGCTCTCACAGTGCCTACGCGGTGTGCGTTTTGCGCTAAAACCTTACGTGCGCACCTTTGTCAAGTCCAGCCCACGCGGTGCCTACGCGAGAGCGCGCCTACGCACGTAGGAAAAATATGCCTACGCGGGGCCTGATGTGTCAACTCTCCTTGTGCCCCTTTCTCGCTCACCTCAGCAAGGCAGGCCGAGCCTGAACATGGGTCTACGTTGAACACACATATTCATGTTGCAAGAACTCGTGACAAACCACGGACAGGCAGAAAATTCAAGTTCATGGTCTAACATAGAAACGAAAAACACATGCAATATGGCTGTGGGTCAAAGCCAATGGTACCATTTTGGGGTAGGTGCACCACTCATTTTAGAACCTATTTTAGTGGGGTCTAGGATGTTCACTGGGGGCTAACCGGGATTTTGACCCATGGTTGCCAAAACCTGCGGTTTGCTCCTCCTGGTTAACTTTGAGAACCACACCCATATGAACATAGGTGTCCCATTGGAAAAATAGATGGCCCTGGTTCACTGGGGGCTAACCGATTTGGATTTCGAAAAGCTGCCTGGCCTGTGGCGGTGGTTGCGCCCGCGGCTCAGCAGGTACCGTGCCGACACTGGCGCCCAAGGCTGTGGGCAGGAGCCGCGTCTCCTCCTCCATGTCTAGTTCGCTCGCAAGCGCCCCCGCAGCCTTTTGAGAAAAGATGGTGCTTTTTGGGAGTTGGTAGCGGATTTTGGAGTCGGATGGCGTTTTTTTTTTGGGAGTTGGTAGCGTTTTTTTTGAGTCGGAGAGGATAGAGATTCCGCCACTTGGCCTAAGCAAACACTGAAAGGCAGCTGAATCAGTTGACGATGATATGATGGTGCAGGTCGGAGAGCCACGTCTCACAAATATCTCGAAAGAGACAAAAAAAGAAAGGGAAAGAGAAAGGGAGCTTGAGCCGACTTCGGACTGCTTTGCGGCCAGAGCATGATGTAGTAAATCCGCTGAGATCAAACCAAGCTGCAAACCTCTCATAGTGAAGTGAAGGGCTTCCAAGTGCGGCAGGCGTCTTTCTTTGGGGATTTGTGTGAACCACGCTCCAACAACGAACCAGACCTGACACCTACCCCAAAATGGTACCATTGGTTTTGACCCACACAGCCATTTTACTGCAGCCCTTCGCCCAAATACAGCGAGCGCCACTCCAGGGGCACGCTGCGCAGGGCAAGAGTAGCCGGACATCCGCGGCGGATTGCACCAAGGGCACAGCGTCCATGGAGTAGTCATAGCCTACTCGAACACTACCCTTTGTTCACGAACGACCCGCAGAGCAGAGCACTCTGCTGGCGGCATTTCAATCTCGATGACAACACATGTAACCAGGATGATTACTTTGCAGGTGGCCGATTCTTGCGAGTTGGCCATGCGCTTTCTAGGGTTGCACCACATTGGTCAATTCAGGAGTGGACATACTTCTTCAATGGCCAACAAGGTATGAATCAGGATTCTTGACTGCGCGAAAGCGCACACTGAGGCCAGGGCACAGGAACAGTGGCCAAAGAAGCAGCTTCATGTACCTTACACAAGCAGCCTTCTACGTATGCAAGCAAAGTTGAAAAGCACTGCTCACGCTGGCGACAATGGGAAATCAAGAATCGCGCTTGCTGCACTGAAAAAGACACTTTCCGGCTGCATCATCGAGCCTTGTTACCTTACTGACTACTCTCAACCTGACCAGGGGGGTCCTGACCAGGGGGTCTTGGAACCTCACCAGGGGGTCCTGAAACCTCACCGAACCTCACCAGGGCATCCTGGAAAACCATTTTCCCCTCAATCTTCAGCACCGTCTGAACAAAAGCTACGACGTCTGTGTCTGAGCAAGCGGCATGCCATGCACCAGGGCATAGGAGAGGACCCGGGTGTAAGGGTCATCACTGGCAGCGATTGGATTGCTGTACCTCAGGTCCAACGATGCAGCTGTGGGTCAAAAATAGGTACCCCAATAATAGCTTGCCCTGGCAAATGGCAAAATGGACTAAAACCTGCGTTCCAATTCCTGGTGGTTTAATTTTGACCCATACCCATGCCATGACGCAAAGAATATAGAATCTAAGAGCAACACCGCCACCATTTGGAGCTCTAGATTGGAAATGCACTCTCATTCTGTCCTGGTTGTCTCATCAATGCTTGCAGCCAAGCGTAAAAAAGGTCTAAAATTATTCAAGAACCAGCCAGTACTTATCAAGCAACGCCGTGATCCACAAGTAGGTGGACGCATTGCATGATGACATGTGATGGGCACTATGTTATGAACAAGTAAGCAATAAATCAATTATTTTTAACAGTAAGCACGATCCCCCCCTCCCCCTGATTAACAAATATGCGCCTGCGGTACTGTAAAACAACGGGCCGACCGGCACTTCACTGAGAAATGCATCGGGCACGGGTCCATCCGCGCGATCTGCGTGCCGGCGGTGTACCACACTCTTACAGCACCTGGGGTGGTGCATTCCCCCCTGGGTTTAAGTCTATCTTGGGGTAGCCAAAAAGTGGAACCCTGTCTGGATGGCCCTCGCATGTTTCTTGGGATGGCTTCCTGCCAAAGAGGCCCCCCCAAAGGAAACAACAATCCAACTTCAAGCATCGCGGCATCTCCTAGCGGCATCTCCCGGAAAAGTATCTCGGTGCCGAACATAGTGTACATAATAAAACCTTCTACTCACAAACCGCTTTCGCGAAACCTTTCGCGGCCAAACGTTTCACTTTCGCGGGCAACACAGAAACTGCAAGCATGCACTTTCGCGACACTCTCATGGGCTCTTCTTGAACTACTTTCGCCGCAAGCTTCGGTGGGAGAGGCCCTCAACTAACTCTTTTCACAACTGGGCTGCCCTCAGATCCCCCGCTAAAAGTTGAGAACTTTTAATGGGCTAAATGGAAACGACCACTAAACACGAAAAGGCTAAAAAGCTACGGGGATAGCTGGGAACCACTGAGACAAGCAGCCTTCTAGGCAAGCTAAGGAACCGGATGGCTGGGAGCCACCGAGATAAGTCGACGGTTTTCGGCGCTGCCCATCTGAGCTCCAGCGCACGCTGCAGCGCCGATGACCAGGAGTCCCAACACCTCGAGCATGGGGGGTAGTCGTTTTGGATCACCGCGATCGAAATCCTGTCAGGTAGGTTGAGAAAGATTCCCCAAAAACTGCGGAGATTCACGCTTCTGCTGTGTTACATGTGGGTAGACCAACTGGGCTGCCCTCCGTGCAGGGCATTCATCTCGAAGAGTTGGAAACTCGATATGGCCATGGGTCAAAATCCCGGTTAGCCCCCAGTGAACATCCCAGACCCCACTAAAATAGGTTCTAAAATGAGTGGTGCACCTACCCCAAAATGGTACCACTGGTTTCGAACCATGGCCATATGGGTTTGTTGAGAGTTGGTACCCGTTTTGCGGGTGGTTTTAAAGGACACCAAAAGGACACCAACCATTTTTAGCGTATTCTAAAACACAGCCATATGCAAAAGTTGTTGGAATGTTCATAAAAATGGATGTCTGGGTCAAGCTAAGTCACATAATTGTTAGGTTTTGGCCTGTGTCCATTCTTGGCAGTGATTTGTGACCATGTCCCAGTCAAATCTTGCCCCTATTCAGTTCCTAGCCAACGGAGTATGCTGGGGGTGTACGATATACCCATTGGCGCTGTGCTGCCGAGCTGCTGCTTCACACAGCACAAAGGAAGCCATCCAGTTTGGCGGGGTAGCCCGACAAAGCCCGTAACACACACACATACAAACACTGGGCTGCCCTCAGATCCCCCGCTAAAAAATTAACTTTTAGTGGGTTGAACGGATTCTACCACTAAACACCAAAAGGCTAAAAAGGCCAAGGGGATGGCTGGGAGCTACCAAGAACATGCATCAGCCGTGGGGCCGTGGCTTTTAGAACCGTCGGATGATCCCCGATCAGAGCTGCATCGAGCCAACCTCTTCCTTGGCGTCCCGCGCGCAGCCAAGCGTGCAGGCCACCTGAAAATTGGTCTTTATCAGGGGTGGCGTCAGGTGAATGTTGCTCAGTTGCTTTCTGCTCGCCTGCTAAAAGTTTAAATGGAAAACCCACTAGTTGGCAGAAAGTCAAAGTCCTGACATCCAAGCAAAATGCACCAAAGGTTGGCTTGGTATAATCGACAGCATTGTGGTTTCAGGCATTCACATCAGGGAGCTATGGACGGATCTTACAAGGCCAGTTGTTGCTGGGTTTGTTGTAGATATTCTATAAGGTGGGTTTTGGTTTGGCCCGGAGTAGTTTCAGGGTCCCTTGTCACAGAACTTGTTGAAAGTCGGAAGCCTCCACTTTGCGTTCAATTCCGTCAGCAACTGATTTGTATCTCCCGACCATGGCATCGCCCGGCCAAAACTAAAGCCATCATTTTGAGGCGCCGCCATCAACCATGACGAGGGATTGCCAATCAAAACTGCATCCATTTGAAAATCCGCTTGGCTCAAGATGAAGCCATCATTTCCTTTTGGGGCGGCTTTGCAGGGAAACCCACGAGAAAACCCGGCCAATTTGGAGAGGTTCCTAATCTGTGCTATGGTCAACCTCCTTCTATGGCGAAACCTCGTCATGGTTCCCTCGATAGGAATCATCATGCTTGAGGATTCCGCCAGGTGGATGACCATCCCTGACCCCAATTCAACCCTTCCTCCAACACGCGTGAGGCACCTGGAAGATCAATCAGTTGACTCCATGCCAGTGGTTGAAATGGAATCCACTTCTGTGACACAACAAAAAGGCGGGCTTCCGAAAGACTAAACCCCCCCCATAAGGGGGAAGTTTCCCTTGTATCACAGAAGTGGGGATCTTTTCTCCCGAGTGATCCCACGTTTTTTTTTCTCAACCCAGCCCTTCCCCCCTGCCTCGCATCAACCCAGCCCTTCCCCCCTGCCTCGCATTTTCAGCACCTCCCAAATCACCAGAAGGCCAAAGAAGGTGAAGCCTGTCTCCTGACCGATTTGGAAAAGCGTTTCTTTTTGAGGCTGGACCCCGGCGTTTTCGGAGCTTCAACTTAAGTGTTCCCTTTCAAAGCCACAACACAAGGGGCTCGGTTGCTTTCTGCTCCCCCGCTAAAAGTGACTAACTTGTTGTGGTTTATTACGGAAAACCCAGTAGTTGGCAAAAAGTTAAAGTCCTAACATCCAAGCAAAATGTAACAAGGGGGCACCGTGAAGAAAGGACACACCGCGATTTTAAAGGGAATTGGTGGAGTTCGTTGGAAGAGTTTGCTTGGGTTTGGACAGCTGGAGGTTGAGTTGGGCTCCGCGAGGATGGAGAGATGGGCAACGGAGTCGGACATTAGGGCCGACAACAAATACCAGCAACATGCTGACGCAAATCCGAACAAAAGCTGCGGAACGACTGGTACAAAGATACCGGAAAAATGCACGGCAAATTGCAAGCCAGCACAAAAAGTGACAACCGCACTGCAACAAAAAATCCGGGTGACGACGGAACTTTGCCAAACAAAGCAACACGGCCATCTCTTGATCTGCCCCCCCAAGAAAACACATGGTGGTGTTCCTTTTGGTTGCCATTTAAAACCACAACAAATCCACGGCGGGGGGGCAGAAAACGGAGCGAGCCTCCAGAGTGTTTTTTTTCCGCGCGCCGCGAGACACGGAGCTCAACCGACTCCTTGCAAAGTCCGGCAAGCACCACCAAGGCCGTGCAGCAAAGGAGCCGCAGCCAGGCCTCACATTCGGCAGCTTGGCACATGGAGCTTTTCGGGTCTCCCCCACCACCCCCCCCCCACCCGGTTTCAGCGGGGAGGGGTTTCCATGAGTTGAACCGAAAGAATCACACGCACGGCTGTCTGAAAGTTAAGAGGGCTGCAAAAAAAAAAGTCGAGAGGGTGGCTCCCTCTGCGAGAGGAGATGTCCTTGTGAGTGAACGTATCCATCCCCCAACCCCGCCCCCCCCACCCCACCCCGCTCCCCCCCCCCCCCACCCTGCTCCCTCCACCCCACCCCGCCCCACTCTGAAAACAAAGCGAAGTAGGTACACGCACACGATTACCCCGGGCGCCGGGTGGCAATTGCGCGTCAGATTTATGTGGAACCCCAACAGCCACGGAAGGATCCCTGTTTGGGCTCCATGTTAATCAGGGGGTTCTCATCACAGATTCAGTATTGCCACTTGACTCTTCAATGACCATTTCACGAGCTGACAAATTGTCCAAGTCGCTGCAAAGAAGCTATGTTCCTTCTTGGTAGGGTTGTCAAACATGCATAGCAGCCTAACTTGTCGCTGAGCCAATTCCACACAAACGGATCTGCAGATTCTAGATCGACAATATCACCAAGTTACTTATAGCAATCGGATCTCCAGATTCTAGACCATGTTATAACCACCGCAGCCTGCGAGTACCTCTGGACACCCAAAAGGGCCCATTGGATTGCCTTTAAAGCGGGCCGTTGAGTGTCCACATGTGACCATCGTCCGATGGGCGCAAGACATAAGGAACCCTTCCATTTGGTTTAGACCCCTGAAAAAGATTTAACAAATGTCCAGTAGTGATAAATTATGTTTAACACCAACAAGGGAAAATAAAGAATATGTTCTTGAGCAAATGGAAGAACCCTGGCATGTTAGCAACAATCCTCGTTCTTTGCGGATCTTCGGTACCACTAAAGTCAAACTGAGCGAAAGAAGCCAACGAGCACCGCCGGAGCACCGCCGGAAAGCATGCACTCGCCCGAATGCCCAAGCATCAGGCCCAGGATCCACCAGACAGGACACGGCCATAAAACCTGCCATCGCCTTGCTCTCTGAAAGCACATTATAAGCATGTGTGTGTGTGGGTGTGTGTGTGTGTGTGGGGATGTTGGTGTGGATGTTGGTGTGGGTGTGGGTGTGGGTGTGGGTGGGTGAATGTCTGGGTGTGTATGTGTGTGTGTGTGTGGGCGTGCGTGTGTGTGTCTCTGTGTGCGCGTGTCGTTTCAAATGTGAAGGTCAGCCGAAAATCAGGGAAGAGACAAACACAAAACCAGCACAATCAGCGTTGGCAGCTTGAAAAGCGCTTGTTGAGATGAAATCATGCCAACCAGCTGAACGATGCCAGCTGCGTAAGGCCGAAATTGCTGACCTCTGACCTCTAACCTCTGGCACACAACATCGTGCATCCATGATGGAACCTACCAGCGTCCGCAATACATGCAAACAAGTAGAACCTGGATGACTCATCATGAGTCATGAGGGAATCCCTTTGAGAACTTACAATGTGTGTGTGTGCACGGATCGCATATCAGATTACTTGGTCCATTGGCACATCTTAGTACCGAATTCTGGGAGGACGAGAAATTCTGCCTTGCCTTTTGCTACAGCATGACCAGCTCCCCCCAAACACCCACCAACTCGAAATCCTCTAAGTCTGCCATCACTCCGCCCGGTGCCAAAAATCATTGAGCCAGCAGGGCTAGAAGCGACAGCAGGCGACAGCATCTCACAAGCTTGTCGGCGAGACTGCATCGCCAAGAGAAGTACCTCACGAAGCCGAAACGCAAACCTCAAAGGCGGCGCCTTTGAAGCAGTCATCAAAACCTGCTGTCGTAGTCTGTGCTCGCATTGTCTGGTGATTTTTCTGTGACCCCGTGAGATCCTTCTAATCATTCTCAGGAATATGCAAATCCAGATGATGATGCTACTCACTTCTCCAGTGAAGAAGGGGCTGAAGGCGCACCTGTGCACAAATGATGTCCGCCCTGCCGACGACATAGCATATGCTCTCTGTGTGCACGGGGTGGATCGCAAACCTGAGTATGTAACGTTGCCACTTCAAAGTCGCAGCTGCCTTAGGGCAAAGAATAGCCAGAAGAGCAAACGGATTAGAGGAGAGGTCATGAACCCAAATTGTCAGACCAAGCTGAGTACCAAACAGAATCAGCCAGTGCTGTTGAGGATGGCAATGCTTTGGTGTGTAAACCATGCAAGACCTTGGCAAAAGGGGCAATCAATGAATGCTGGATTGCAACATCAGCATGGACACATTCTCAGCCGAAAGGACCCAGAAAAAAAGGTTAACCTTTGGAGGCCATGACTAAAAATGGACCAATCACGGGAAATCAAACGGTCAAAAGGGAGCATTGCCCTCCAAGCCATACAACAAATCCAAAAGCTCTGAGGCCGCTGCAAGCAAGCTAAGAGCCTCGTCGGTGGGCACGGGGCAGCATCCCGGGGCTCCCGTTCCACTTCCCCCAAACCAGGTCTCTTAAACACTTCTTCTGGAACCGCACAAGGAATGGGAAAGGCCGGCTGGAGACATCCCCAACAATCCCGTACCTTTTCAAAGGCTCTCCAAAAACCTCAAAAAGGTGTAAATCATACTTTGGGACCCTTTGGTGGACGTCAAAAGAAACATGGTGACTTATGTCCACCAAACGTGTTTGAGTGTATTCATAGCCAAATCCTTGGCAGAGCTCCTTGCTCTTGGATCTTCAAGCACAAGGCCATCCAAATTTCCCAAAATGTGAACGTGTCCTCCCTAGTGTCCCTCCAAAACCCAGCCGAAAGCACAGGGTTCCCCGAAAACAACAACTAGGTCCTCCAGCAGAGAGGTTAGAAGAAGGGTACCAACTTTTTTATGTACTCTTTTTTAGTAGGGGCTTGCCCCTACTTAACAAAAAAAGGGGTGAGAGGTCGGGCACTAATTGCTGGGACCCGGACCTAGACCACCCCCAGCCGCATCTGATCGCCAAACCCAACGGAACCCAACAGGCGACCGCGGCGACCGCGTCGGGGCCCCGGCGCAGCCCAGCGGGGCGGCAGCCGCAGCGAGGAACCGCCGAAGGCGCCGAGCTGCAGGGAGCAGAGGCCATGCAGCAGGGCCTCGAAAGGCCGCAGCCTTGTGAGAAAGAGCTGGGAGATCCTGAGATTCTGTACCTGGAGTTGTTTTTTTGTTTGTCTGATCCTTAAAAAATGGTTGGTCATTACCCAAAATCATGGTTGGTCATTGACCCACTCCAGGCAGAGTGCACCAGTGCAATCCGCAACCCCTAAGGATTTTAGAGAACCTAAAAAGCGCGCGGCGTTTTTTTTTGGAATCGCAGAGGCCCAAAGAGGCTTTTAGCTGAAGGGCGCTTCAGCCAAAGAATGATCAGTCATGTGACTTATGGGAATCGACGATTCGATATGATCAGTCATGAAGTACGACCAATATGGGCGCTTCCGACGGACTTTTTTATATGTCTCTTATTTATAGCTGAAGAAACTACAGGCATTGGCAAAACAAAATGTCGAATCGCAGGCCCAAAGAGGCGTCAGCTGAAGGGCGCTTCAGCCATAGAAGGATCAGTCAAGTGACTTGTCGGCTCTTCTGAAGGATATATCTCTTGTTTGTAGCCTCTGAAGTAATTACAGCCCTTGGTGATGCATGTTTGCTTACGTAAGCAAAGCCTTAGTGCTCAAGTAACTCTTCATCGTGAGCTCGTTTTACGCCCCACGTATCGGGGATCATGTCGTAAATGACTTGCCCATGTTTGCCCAGGATGGAGGACCTCGACATGGGAGCAATTTGCGAGAGACCTTTACCCGAAAGAGTTGAATGAAACAGAAAGGAAAACAACAGGTCTTGGGCAAGATTGGCGTAAAAGAAACCAAATCCACAGATGTGCTGGGTCAGAACGAACCATCTAAGCATGTTCGGACAGGCGTTTGGCATCCTACATTCTCGCCCCCATCCTTCGCGGCTACAGCCGAAGATCCCGGAGCTACCGGAGCAGTGATTTTTTGATTCTCCGGTAGCTTTGGGTAGATGGCTGGGTTTCCCAATTTGGCTTTCTGGAACCTCGGTTGCAAAAGGCAATACGCTGCTGAAGCTTCCAGAAAGCACTCAATGTACACCCACCCACATACCCACCCGCATACACATACACCAACACCAACACTCAACACTCAACACTGCACGCACCCTCTCGCCTCATCTCTCGCCATCTCGTGTTGCCATGCTCATGATTTCAATGGATCAGCAGAGTTTCGCCCCTAGGCCGCCCCGCGTTTGTGAGGTGAAAGCCGCAGCTTCCAAAGCCATGCGCGAGGTAGTTCCACCTTCGCGCGTTCGCGCGACAAGGGGCTGGAACTGGGGTACGTCCTCCAATCCCGAACTGCCTTCACTTTGATCAACCTGCGCCAACCAAACTCCGGACCTGAAGGTGAGGACGGTGAAGGGTCGGAACGACCTCGGCACGGGTCAGCCCTTTCAAGCGCCTATGCTTTTGCAGTACCTGGAGTCTCCCTGACCCTTTGAAATGGGTCAATGACCCCATTATTTTGGGTAACGACCCCATTTTTTAAGGGTTATGGAGACTCCATGTTGACCCCCTCAAGCTGCCAGTACGTGGACGTCGAATTCGTAGCTGCTTCTATTCGGGAAACAAGCAGTGTCGCATGGTCAAAACCATGGCCATAGGTGGCCTTTTGGAAAAATACATGGCCCTGGTAAATGGAACAAAACTCATCTAAAGCAGTGCCATCTATTCTTAACCAGGCTCACACAAAAAGGACACCTGTGACCATGGCGCAATTCAGTCGTTCAGTCGGCGGCTTGTGCGTCCAGGTGTTCGGGTCAAACATCTCCAGGCCCCAGTAGTCAGTGCGCCACAGCCTTCCGCATGCGAGAAAGAGCTAGCCTTCTGTACCTGGAGTCTCCATGACCCTTTAAAAATGGTTGGTCATTACCCAAAAGAATGGGGTCATTGATCCATTTTTAAAGGGTCATGGAGACTCCAGGTCGACTCTCTCCCGATTTGGGTTGGCGAGAACGTGAGGAGCCTTCATGATCGGCGAGGTCGATCTAGTTTTACTCTCTGCTATTGATTTTGTTCCATAGGTACCACGTGAAAGCTTACCTCTGAAGACTTCTGCAAAAAATGGGAGTCGGCTGCTCAAAGTGCAGGTAGGTAAGTCCAAGGAACAAAAGCTGCTAGTACTGTACGTTCTGAGAGCTGTCCCATTCAAATACTGGGAAATAAGTTTGTTGACTCCTCAGTCAAGCAACAAACATTAAAACACTGCGAACCCTGGGGCTGAACGAGAGCCAACTCTACTGCCAATGCCGGTTCATACCCATGCATCGCCTGAGACCAGCCCCAACCCCAGCTTAAGCCAGCCCTTGCGCCTCTGCAAGTCCAAGGCCTCGTCCACCACCACGGCATTCCTCTCAACTGTTTCTTTGCTGAGAACAAAAATAGTTGCATCCGCCTTGTTCGGCATTGTGTTTCAATCGGGGTCGAATGTTGATGCTCTACAACAGCTTAGCCAGCTCGTGAATGGGCCCATGGGCATGGCAAATAGCCGGCAAACATGGGTTGCCAGGTTTTTCACGTCCCGTGAAACCAAACACCCAAAAACGCAGGGTTTGGGCAAACTGAATGAGAATTGCTGCCTTTGCCATGTCCTCAAAACTGCGCGAGCGCGCCCCCAAAATGGCATCGGCCAGCGTTTCGTCAAGGCGAAAGGCCCTTTATTCACCAAGAAGGCTGATCCAAACTTTCGTTCTGCTTCCACAAAACCGCTTCTTGTCAGTGTTTCTCAGCACTTGAGCGTGGGTTCTTACCATGTGCAGGCATGGATGCATTGATGAGCGGGTGCGCTTGAGCGTGGGATCTTACCATGTGCATGCATGAATGCATTCATGAGCGGGTGCACTTGAGCGTGGGTTCTTACCATGCGAAGGCATGGATACATTGATGGGCGGGTGCACTTGAGCGTGGGTTTTTACCATGTGCAGACATGGATACATTGATGAGTGGGTGCACCTGAGCGTGGGCTCTTACCATGTTCAGGCATGAATCATTGATATGCGGGTGCGCTTGAGTGGGTTCTTACCATGTGCAGGCATGGATGCATTGATGAGCGGGTGCACTTGAGCTTCTTACCATGTGCAGGCATGGATGCATTGATGAGCGGGTGCGCTTCTTACCATGTGCAGGCATGAATGCATTCATGAGCGGGTGCACTTGAGCGTGGGTTCTTACCATGCGAAGGCATGGATACATTGATGAGCGGGTGCACTGGAGTGTGGGTTCTTACCATGTGCAGGCATGGATGCATTGATGAGCGTGTGCACTTGAGCGTGGGTTGTTATCATGTGCAGGCATGGATGCATTGATGAGCGGGTGAACTTGAGCGTGGGTTCATACCATGCGAAGGCATGGATACATTGATGAGCGGGTGCACTTGAGCGTGGGTTCTTACCATGTGCAGGCATGGATGCATTGATGAGAGGGTGCACTTGAGCGCGGGTTCTTACCGTGTGCAGACATGGATGCATTGATGAGTGGGTGCACCTGAGCGTGGGTTCTTATCCTGTGCAGGCATGGATGCATTGATGAGCGGGTGCACTTGAGCGTGCTATTACCATGTTCAGGCATGAATGCTGGTTACCATGTGCAGACATGGATGCATTGCTGAACGAGGCACTTGAGCGTGTGCCACGTGCAGGCATTGATGCATTGATGAGAGGGTGCACTTGAGCGTGGGTTTTTACCATCTGCTTACCTGCTTGTGCGCGCTTACAGGTTGTCCGGGCCAATAACAAGTAAACCTGAACCTAGTCTAGCCGCTGCGCTTGTTGCGCCCACCATGACTTGTGCGCCTTGCTGTCGGGCGAATCATGTTCAGAAAGCGGCTAATGGGGCGGTCCGAGCTGGAGGTACCGAAGTGTGGAGTGCTCAGCAGGGTCAAAGCTGCTGGCCGGAGTCAACACGTGGGCAAGAGCGACACCTATTGACTGCACCTGCAAGCCTGAATGCCGGACACATCAAAAGTCTATAAAGTGAAAACAGTCCCGGCGGCTTGTGGGCGCCGCCACCGCAAACATGGAAGTCATGCGCAACAAACAGTACCTGGACAGTGTGCGAAAGCGAATCGGCTCCTCCAGTCATTCGGACCAAAACAAACACAATGCAAGCCAACACCTCGAGTATCTGTCAATGTCCTCCAGTGGAAGCCTGCAAGATTCCACTCAAAGAGGGCAACAACATGTGCTGGACACGCTTACGCAACTCTAATACAACTAGGTCCTCCAGTAGAGAGGTTAGAATAAGGGTACCCTTTTTTCCGTTATCTATTTTAGTAGGGGAACCCTCCCCCCAAAAAAGGGTAAAAGGGCACTACTGGGGGACCTAGTATAATTTTGGAGGCAACAGCGAGCGACCTTAAACCAATGCTCCAACCTGCGGATCATTGCATCGTCCATGAAGAAGCCACCCGTCTCCATGTTGAAGTTTACAACCTGCAGTCCACTTCTCGCTGGGCAAAGGCGAGGCGTGCAGATCACCAGGCAGCCAACTGTTGCTTTAGCGATTAGCAAATAAACAGAACCCAGGATCTTGAAACAACAAAACCAAATGATGCAGACACACACACACATGCATCCAGTCTGCAATGAGGAAACAACATCCAGCATTGCTTTCTTGGTATGCTATGATGGTAGAGTCTAGAAGCCACGCTCCTATCACTCAAAAAGATCACCTACGGTAGAGTCTAGAAGCCCGTCTCCGATTCAACAGTTATATGCTATATGTTACAACTATCGATTGATTTGAACAAGCATGAGTGCTCTTTGTATCCCACAAACGCGTTCATGCTTATTAGTGTGATACTCTGTGACATGTGTTGCGTGCGTCTCCCCGCCTGTCCAGGCGTCTGCAATCCAGCGGAATTGAACATAACTTAACCTTTGCCCGTTGACCATGCAGTACTGCACAACCTCTGCAGTACTAGCAAGAACAAGTTGGCTTCCTTTGCCATGTCTGGAATTTCCTTCATTTTCTGGGTGCGTCTCTAGGAGACCCCCCCAACTAACTTCGGGTTTCCTTTTGGCGTCCGTTTTAAAGCCAACCACAAGGGGTGCCAACTCCAAAAAAAAACACGCCGCCCATTTGAAGGGAGAGGCGTGGAAAAAAAACAAAAAAACTTAGGCCCGGGCTGGGTAGTATGCCATCAGCGAGGCGCCTCGACTCGACTCAGGTTCGTCGCGTTTCGTGGGTGTCGCATTTCGTTTTGACTTGGAAGGGGCAAGCTGCCAACCTGAAGCCATGTTTGCATGGAATCCTTTTTGCAATCTCAAGAGAATTAAGAAGGCGGATGTCCGCAACTATTTATGGCTGGGAGTCTCCCTTACTAACCTCCAATTACCCGGGTTTTGATTGTGGCTCAAGTACAGGGAAACTGAGTCCTCACCGAATCCCATGCGAGCCTTTTTCCTTCGGTGTATCCTACTCTTGCGCCTACAAAATGCCTCCGGTGCGTGAACTTATGGAAGGGTGCGTACGCAAGCCGCTGCAGGTGCCTAATTGGAGTGCCTGCGCGGACTTTTCTCGGGCGCGACTCTTTACGCTCGTCAGCAGACAAGGAGTTCCCCTCGAATGTAGTCTAGGTCCTTTAGTAGAGACGTTAGAATAGGGGTACCCTTTGTTCTGTATTTTTTTTGTGGGGGAACCCTCCCCAAAAAAAGAAAAAGTGCACTCTGGGGGACCTAGTAGTATACTAAACAAAATACGTTGCAAACCAACTCTGCACACCTGTGGGCGAGATTGTCTGCCCCTAGGCAAGTTTGCCGTGTTTGGCTTCGTAGCAACCCCCGCATTGTCTGCGCGTTTCGACTCAGTCCGGCACCAACCATGCACAGTGGCAGCACGCTTGATGCCACTGAACCTTCCTGACCTGCCAGCGAAGCGTCTTGTCTCTCCTGACATGATGAGCCAGCCACATTCTCTCATGTACTCTGTTTGGGCCAGGAGGAACTTGTGGGTTTTCACTGCGCACTGATCTAAGTCTGCTTCACTCAACATGCCGAGCCCAGCAAAACCGGCGCCTCTGCTCGCTACGGCGCTTTTTGCAGCGCCCTGGCAGGTTCGACCAGCGAGGCCAGTCGAAATCTCCGGCAATTGAGCCACAAGAACGGAAGAACCCCTGGCATGGGTGTCTCTTACAATAGGGGGCCCAAAGCAAGATGGACTTTCCGTTGGCTTCCCTTCAAAGCAAGCCGGCAAGGGCGCCCGGCGCCCTCAAACAAGACAAAGCAGACAAGGATTAACAAATGGTCGCCCCTTTCTGACCCGCCGGCCTCTGTCTCTTGCACAGGCGTCCCCGTGCGAAGCACAGACCACGCCTAAGAACCAATGGTATTGAACAACACGCATAGAATCTCACGTTGTCTGGAAGAAGGGAACCCCACCAAGTGGGTCAACATTGATGGCACTGGATAGTTTTTAGATGGCACTGGATAGTTTTTAGAATCACTCTGAAACTCAAACTAAACCGACCTAAAACTACAATGTTGGATGCAACACCCGCTTCTACCCAAACAGAATGATAAGTTTGTCCAACCTGCGCAACCCATTGGCAGCTGCACCTTGGAAAACATGCTCAGTACAATGTACAAGTTGACACGCTTTGGACATTTGGCTTCACAAGGGCATGCCACTCGCATTTATCGACTGTCTGCCAGCGCTAAGGCAGGCGCCATCTGAGCCTCTGATGCAGAGCACTCGGCAAACGGCCGAGAAGCCCCGCAGCTATACGCCTGGTGAGCAGAAGTCTCGCCAGATTGGTGCTGCAAAACAGCCAGTTGCCCATGGGTCAAAATCCCGGTTAGCCCCGAGTGAACATCCCAATCCCCACTAAAATAGGTTCTAGAATGGGTAGTACTTTTGGCCAGCGTCTGTGGCCAACCACTGGGTTTTGGAACAGGAACACCAGCGGATTTGCTCTCCAGATCTCTCCAGTCTCAAGGGAGCTGAGCCCCCCACGACGATCCCCCGCGCCACTGCGGCAGGGACCTGCTGAACAACTTCCCACCAAGTGACCTCCCAAGCCAAAGCCAAGGAAGGCTCGGGCTGAGATTCAGACCACAAATCTTTTTAGGTGCAAAACAGCCCCGGTCAGAGTGAACAGTAGCACAATGCACGCACATTGCGGTCGTGTTCCTCGCCGCAGTCCTCGGCCTTTTGCATCCGTCGACACCCTTTGGTCTGAGATGCTATAAAAGAGTTCTGCAAATTCGCTGGTCACAACAAGGGTGTGCGCAAGATGCATGCACAATGACAACCCGCCAATGCCTAAATTGTTGTGATATTGTTGTGTCATGTTTGCGCCCCCAACATGCACAGCCTCAAATCTGGTCTAGCCAGTGCGCAGCTACCTCATGTACATTGCTCTAGGAGCAAAGAATCACTCCGCTCCAGCACATCCCAAACAAAAAATGAAGTCTCCTCACAAGATAACCCCTCACGGCGAACAGCTGGATGGCTAAGTCAGGGACAGTGCCCAAGGCACTTTGATAACAGCTTAGGTGCCACAGGAAAACAATTGGTGTCACGATCTTTGCGCGAGCTCGGCCGCTCGTCTCAGGGTCTTCGTATAGCCTGAGTGGACTGGTTGACATGCCTTTGTGGCACAGTTTGCTTATCTATGTCACGAAACAACTATGTGTCATGCTGAGACATCACACAACTGGCTTGGGTCTTGGTCATGATGCACTAGCAGGTGTTGTTGATTAAGTGCATTTGACGCAAGGTGAAATAAACTAGAACGCCAAAAAAGGAACAGCATGAGTATGGGGTTGGGCTGTCATCATGCTGCTTCCAATCCAGTTAGTTTCATACTACACGACAACCTTATATATATATATGATGCTAGACAATGCCAAAATCGCACAGTCAGAGCATGGCAACTTTCAATGAGAAGCGCAGAATGTACTTCGGACGCGGCTTGCACCACAAAACAGGTTTGGCCATGGTCTCACTGCTTGAAAACGCGTAGTTTTGACTCCCATAGTGATGATTCCCCTAGCTAGTTTAAAAAAATGGGGTTAATGAAAATGGGGACAACAAAGGTAAAGGAACTCAGAGTGCGTGGTTCTTTCGACATAGCCTGATGCCAGTTTCCCATAGTCTTTATGGCGGACTGTGCCAACGAAGGCATCGCAAGCTGACACAGTCACCATTGGAGCTGCCACAAACCTCACTCCCGCCGAACGTGGGCGAGACCCGGGCCCCGTTGGGCGTGAAGGGGTAGCCTGGCAAAGATGCCAAAAGCCAAGTGCCGGGAAACCTCATCGTGCGCAGTCGCGCGTTCGTGACTTTGGTGAGTGTATTGTTGAAGACACGGCTCTTTGCCGCCAAAGTTGAACTATCGTTCTTGGCCTGGAGCTCGGAATTCAATAGAACAAATCCTGTCTGAGGTCACAATTAGTAAACCCGATGCGTGCTGCCAAGGATTCATTCACTTGAACCCGACTTTCGTAAGTCAACCGCATGGAATCCCAGTTAAAGATACATGAGTCAAGGCGCGGCGCCTTGCAGCATGGGGAGATAAAGTGAATCACGGGGTAGCCAATATACATCTTGCTGCAGTTCTATCACACGCATGTAAAATAGATTATCAAAAACACCAATCATAACCAAACCCCATGGACATTGACACGCGCTGCTTGTTTGCTGGTTTCATTTCTCTCCCCACACTGGGCAAGTCCTCCTCAACACCGTGGACATGTTTCAGCAAATCCGAACCAAAAGGTCATGTGGCTGAAGCCGACCGGATCCACGGACCAGTAGGATTTTTCAAACGCCACATGGCCTGTATCTTCGAGTCTGAGCCATCACAAGGGTGGATATCCCATCAAAGGGGCCCCCTCAACACCTTCATATACTCAAGAAGAATGAAGGACAATTGATGGGCAGCTGAGATCTGTTGAGACACACGTGTGCTTGTATGTATTCGCATGTATATATATATAACTACAAAAAACACAACAAACAACACTTCCTGGTTGAGGGGCAACTTGTGGGCAAACCTCAAGTTGAAGCCAAGAATCTGCGATTGGAGATCAACGCATGTGGCCGTCTTTCACCCAATTGTCGGTTGATGTCGATGTTGGTTGGCTTCCTTGCAAATGAGGATGACTTAATCCTATCAATATCTGGGCGTTCCAATTCCCACGGCCGAAAATCTGCTGGCAGAAACTAGAAAGGCAGCGGTCCAAAACCCCTCACCCTCTCTCAAGGTATCTGATGCTGCTTGAGAGGCGCAAAATGAACCATCCAAAAGTCACACAGTGCTCTTTGACCTGGGGGCCACAATTAAGGAGAACTCACATTCTGCCTAGCCACCTATGCAGCCTGCCGCGACCAAGGAAATCCAGTGAGGGCCTCTCATGCGCTGTGAGCTGTAAGGGTTTTAATCCCTCCCCCCCATCCCAGCATGTAAATCTCGTGGGGGGCACAACTGGGGAGAATGCACAACATGCCTAGTCACCTATGCAGCCGTTGTGAGCATCCTTGGCACTTTTTCTTCCGGGCTTTCGACTGTTGGCTCCAGCGCAGCCGCCAGAGGCGCCTAGCAACGCCAAGCTTCGCGTTTGGGTTGTTTGAACCCCCCAAAATGGCGCAACGGGTTTTTCTCTTAGGCTTTTCCCTTTAAAAGCCGTACAAGGGGAACTGGTTCCCAAAAAGAAACAGGTCTCCTCTAAAGTTTTCCTTGTAACCACCGCAAAAACTGGAACCACCGGGAAAAAAAAAGGAAAAAAAAACACAAACACACACACATACACACACAAGTCCACTTTACATGGCTGACAGAAATGGAGCCCGCGGAAGCCTTCTCCGGACACATTTGACGGCCACTGCTAGATCTGGAGTTCTGCGATGCTTTTTGTTCCTCTCGGAGTGGGTTTTCTAGAGCTCTCGGATTCCCGTCCCAACCAGCTGTAACTTGCCAGCTCCCCTCATTGGACAATGTCCATCTTTCAAAGCCTTCGATCTGCTTGGAGCATTACTCAACTCGGGCTTCTGAGGAAAGCACATGGGCACCATCCAAGCACGTGATTCATCGCTGATGCTGTGATTCAAGCCTTCCACTATCTTAGTGGGCCGCTAGCTTTGTCAAGCAACACTTGCAGCATGTCCCAAGCAGGAAGCGTGCCGCTCTTTACAAAACGATGCGATTTGACAACAAGGAATAGAAGTCCGCGTCCTGGCATGAAAGGTCAGGAAAAAGAAGACCCATGTTGACTCATTGGACAGGTACCTTTGCTGTGGTTGGGGTGCCCAACCTTCGAATGATCAATCCCATCCCGAAGCAATGTGATCGCCCTGGGGTGGGAACGTGACTCAACTGCAATAATATCATCCCCCTATTAACAAAGGTCTCCCTAATTAAAAAAAGAAGAAATAAACAATGTTTAGTTGAAGGGACCAAATCGGAACGGCATACGATTTACGTCTTACAAGTCTTGGCAAAGCAACCGCTTGGACCTGGGGCTTTTCCCAGATCTGCACGACATTGGAATGCTGAAAGGGTTTCCACCCCGAGCCAAGTTCGTAAGTGTCTACTTGTTGATACCACACATTCCCGGCTGTCTATTCGTTGATACCCTTCCAGACATTCCCGGCTGTCTATTCGTAGAAAACCAACGGGACGCAACATCCCTGGGTCCTCCAGTACAGAGGTTAGCATAAGGGTACCTTTTTTCTCTCTTCTTTCGTTTTGTCTATTTTAGTAGGCTTCGGAACCCTCCCAACCAAAAACGAAACGGCAAAAGCAGGGGGACCACTGGATCCAGTTGGGGCTGGGCTTCCCGACAGGCAGCACAAAGGCCGCCTCGAAGCTCGCGGCGATCGCGGCGAGGCCTGCAAGTTGCTCAGGCCCCAGAGGTCCGATTGGAATGGCCATGGGTCAAAACGCCAATTCGGTGCCAGGGTGCCACCCAGTGTTGTTTTAAAACATGTGTTTTTCTTTTTTGTTTTTTTACCACTGGTCATGATTTCAAATTATGCTTCCCTTGTAAAGGTGGTGTCTAAACAACATTTTGCACCACCCAGCCGGTTAGCCCACGGTGAACATCCGATTCAATCCAACCACCAAAATAGGTTCTAAACTGGGTGGTGATTTCACCTATCAGCCAAAATGGTACCATTGGTTTTGACCCAATGGGTGTGTTTGCTTCTTAAAGCTTAAGGACCCCCGCCCTCAAACAAAAAAGTCCACACCAAACTTGCGGGGACTCTCCGTTCGGATCGGTGTTGTTTTTGTGTGTACCCATGCCTGCTCCACACCAAAGCATGTACAAGCGCAACAAATACACCCTTACCGGCATTTCATCCGTCTCAGATTAAGAGAACACCATGCGCTGAACTATCTTTGGCATTTCCCCTCTCCTGGAAATCTGGAATTCCCACCTGCAACACCATCGCAGGATTGGTGCCTACAAGTAGGTGCTCAACTGAAAACCCAACAAAACCAGGCACGGTTTACTCCAAAAAACCACTCCACTCCGCGCGTGTCAAGAGCCCTTGTTGGACGGCTTCAACATGAACCCAAGCCACCAAGGAAGCCAAAGGCCGGGCCAAAGGCAACAAACCGAGACAGCCAACAACTTGCCGGTGCGATATGCACGGAATGAGAAATGGAATGACCATTATAAATCATCCAACTGGTGGCTTCCTGTAAGGGGACCAAAGCCTGGGTTCATTGCAACTCATTCCCTACACATCGCGCCAGCAAAACAAACATCGAAGCCACGGGTAGCGTTCAACTCACTCTGGTTCCCACCTGTTCCGCGTGCTGCAGCCCTACTCCAGGCTGCCTTGGTGCCGGTCTTTGTCACGTCCGCCCGAAACAAGTCGGGGCGAAGGGAAGCCACCAAGCAACAAACAAGAAGTGGTTCCAATTGTCGCGCCCGGATTGGGGTTGACACAACTAGGAAACTGGTTGACTAAGGTGGACCAGTCACTTGAAACCAGTCAATTGAAACCTGCAAGCCGACCTGCTAGCTACAGCA